CTCCCGTGGGCCAATCGGAGCGTGACTACGTAGCAGATATAGAAGCCGTCGGCCCGCAATGTGAGGTTTGTCGTTCACCTTTTGCCAAGTTACAACGAGACAGGGTATAACCGTGGGCTCTCACTCTGCTGGCGCCGCCTGGCTGTTGCCGGCTGCTATGGGTCACTTCCAAAAGCTGGGCTCACAAGGCGCGGCAACGCTCGAAGCGCCCCATGCGGGAATTTCCCGGCTCTGGTCGGCGCCCCACCGTGGTATGCTCATCTGTCCGGAGACTGCACGCTGCCATATTTGTCTAAAGGGCAGTGGAACGCGTTCTGGGCATGCTCAGTAGCTCCCTTCTGTGGAATGTCAGACGCCACAGCCTAGTGACTCGGCATTCTTCGCTTGGGTGCGCTGGAAAAGCGCATAGTAAATGGGGCCAGAAGGCCTGCATAGAGAAAACTGCAAACTTTAGATCACGAAATAGCTATGCGCCGAGAAACGGAGAGAGAGGATTAAACTAGAGGGCGCGCTGACGTCCGAACGGTGGGACCAAACGACCGAGACATCACCGCCTGCTCCTCTTGGGGCCCTAAACTCGTGATACACAAAGTTGGAGCCGAAAGTTCGCGGAGCGCGCCGATTGGATGTTGGCGAGAAAAGCGCCAAGTCATCGTCGTGATTGTCCAATCGGTGCACTCCCTCAACTTCGGCCCCAACTTCGTGTTTCACGAGTTTAGGGCCCCTGGTCGGTGCTGCAGCCAATCGCAGTAAGCGGTGATGTCCCTGTCCCTTGGTCCCGCCGCGTAGATTAGGGCCCCTGGTTGAAATGATTAGTGGGTAGACCTAAAGTAAGCTGCCTTTGTCTTTGCTGCGCTCGTCGAACGTGTTAGAACGCGGAACGTTTGCGTCCGGCGTTTGGCTCTCGCATTCGAACGCGTCCTACGAGTTCGGTGGAGAGAAGGGCAGCTAGCTTCAGGTGTACCCACTACTCACTCCAACCACACCTCGGCGTTCCGACGGCCCCGTGCACTCTGTCCTCCTCATCGCCCTCAGTTCCTCTGCGCACAGCTGGCTCACGTGTCGTAACAATTTAGGCTGTGTGTTCACAATTTGGCACCCAGAGAGCTTAGACTCTTTGAACACAGGCAAGCAGTTGTCGTAACGAGCAAGGAGTTATCGGTATTGGTTCACTCGAATCTAAATACTGAACTAATAAAATAACAACTATCTTTAACATTTTTAATTTTCTTTTTACTCAGAAAAGAATAAATAAAAGAACCGCAGTAAAACGTTATAGAAAAGTAACTCGTTATAGTGAAAAGTAAAAAAAAAACAAAAAACATGGCTACCGTAACTTTTTTATTACGAAAGACTTCAATTAAGCGGCGCGTCATTAATGCGATGCACAAAAATTTGATAGTCACGTTCTTTTTCTTTTTTTTTTCTTTTTTTTACTTAGCAGCGAAACATTTGTGATTCTGGAAAAAAAGACAGTTTCCTGTTGGCCCATAAGCGCTATACAATTCGCCCGTGAAGGCATAAACCACTAAATTCTTGCGAAGCATTTCCCAACGACACTTAAAACTCCCAACGCAGTTCGCACACACGACACGTGTCGGACCCAAACATCTGCAAGAGTGCGTCAGCGACGCGGGAACGTGCGCTGCCCGGCAATGCTCCGGTGTTGGGCGGCGTAGCACCCTAATTCTACGCTGACCGTGGGAACGAGCCCGCCGTTCCGGCCCGAGGCGCACGGACCACCGGTTCCCACGACCCCGCGCCCGCAGCCACCGCGGTCCCGCGGTCTCTTGGGGAATCCGCCGCGCACAAAACCGGCGGGCTCGAACCCCCGGTGCTCATTCCAGGCTCCGAAGCCGCCGCTCGTGCCGCCGCTAACGCGCGTCTATGTGTCGTCTGCTAGCACGTTTTCCTTACGATACCATGCGTTCTTGGTTTCGGTACTACGTTTAAACGAGCAATCTTTACTTCGCGTTGCGTTTAACAAGTACCTCACTCACATTACTTCGATTTCAAAGGTGAAATTGAGTCGTGAATGCCTGTCTCAAGCTTCTGAGATCGATTCGAAAATGAAGTGGCCGTTGCGACTCGTGTCGATGGCGATGCTGCTGGTGTTGGCTAACTGCGCTTCCATCGGTGCCTTGGCGGGAGCGGGTTCAACGGAGTTGAGGCGGGATTCGTGCAACTGGAGCGGAAGGTGAGTGCTTCCTTAACATGCAAATATTAAGTTTTAGTAAATCATTCTTTTTTTTATTTAAGCTGGGTGCCGCCCGCTATTGTTTGGGGGCGCGAAGGATGTTTGGAATTGATGGTGCGATTTCCCTGACGCATTATCGTTACGGACAAAACCATTTCCTTTATTTTCCCATACGATGAGCAGTTCGAGTGAGTGTGGATGGTTCATAACTCCGAGATCTTAGTATAGCTGTCTATCCTCTTCACTCCATACCATGATTTAAATTTTTGTTAGACTGCATGGGGTAGTGAAGCCGAAAAATTTCTGAAGTGGAAGAGCCAGAAAATAAATAGGCAGACATTGTCCCAAACTGTCTCCTTATACCATGATATAAATTAACCTTAAACTGCATGGGGTAGTGAAACCGAAAAATTTCTTAAATGGAAGAGACAGAAAATAATCAGTCAGACATTGTCCCAAACTGCCTCACATACCGTCCTTTATTACGTCGCCGAAAGCCTGTAAAAAGCCCCCGGAGTAGCATGGCAGAGCCAATGAGCGATATGCAAAATAGCAACGCCCCTAGCGGCTCACGTGCACTCTGTGAGCAGTAAACCGTCAACGGGTAATTTCGGTTTCGGTTTCGCCGGTTCGTGCATTTCTCGTCTGCTATCGTCTCCGCACTGCCATTGCTCGCGTCGTCGTGGATTGCTCCACACCAACGTTACTAAAACACTCAGTTGGGAAACTCCCACAGAGACAGCTTTCAAAAAGTGGCCCCAATCTGGCTCCGAGCACCGAGCTAATGACGAACACGACGCCACTATTTCTCCCGCAGCGGCCACTCGAGGAACTGCACGTGACTTCTATTATTGGCTTTAAGAACACATACAGCGGAAGAGGTTACAGGGGTGCCACCCTCGTCTCCCCGGCGGACGCGCCGCGTCGAACTACCGAAGTTAAAATGCACCTAGGTCAGGACGCGCTACCTGAAAGCCCTGCTGAGGCATGGTTGTATAAAAACAATATTAATTGTGCCGCAAAACCCTGCCAACTAAAGATTTTAAAAACGTAACGCGCCCCTCTTTTTGTACTAAACTCCAATAAATTTCATACAAAAAGAGTCTTTTCCGTTTGTTTTTACGCAAAAACAGGCTTTCAAACCGCTCAATTTTGACCACAGTACAGACAAGCGATAAAGAGTGGCGCTGTTGTCGTATTTAGCTCGGTCTCGGTGGACGCCAGCGGCCCAGGTTTCGACGGCGAGTTTCCCAACTGAGTGTTTTAGTAGCGTTGCTCCACACTTACGCGCGATGCAGTAAGTACCATTTTCTTCTCGTCGCTACATACCAGACACAGCGAATAACGAAACAATTACTTTTTTGATAGCACGGGAATGAGCGAAAACGCCGCTACGGCGAAGACAAGGGAACGTAGATTAGCGTACCCCGAACGCCGTGCCAGCTCACTGGGTGCATATGTTTGCAACCTAGAGAACAACCACTGAAACCAGTACTCCAGTGGGAAAATGGCGGCCGACGGAGTTTTCAAACACATGGGGCTCTATGGCACCAGAAACCAAAAACGGGCAAAAATGGGCTCCATTTTCCCATTGAAATTTTCAGAAAATCACTTATAACTTTTGATTAAGTTATCTGATCGGGCTGAAACTTTGGCATCTGGTTGTGACCTCTAGCTCTACCTTTGAGCGGAGAATGAGCGTTCGGCGATGCCTAGTTTATTTTTGCGGTAAAAAAGACCGTGTAAATGTTCTTTTGTGACACCCTTTAGGTTTAGAAAACTTGTACTTTACTTGAAATACATCCTTTGAGTATGTACTTGTACTTTACGTGAAGTGTTTTTTTTTCTTTTTCTGGTACTTCCAAAGAAAGTACAACTCCCGACTTCAAGTGCATTCCTCGAATTCGGTCTCGGTGAAATTTAGCTCTTTCAAGAACCACGCGCTCGTGGCTTTGGCTTTCCCGGTACTGTACACAACTTCTGAGGTTGATTATAAGAGTTCACCAACCTCTAACAAAAAATGGCATATAGTCATGTGAAAATCCACTATCGCCTTTCGAGACGTCATCCGGGCATTTTTATGAGTGAAGTAATGACGGCTATTAGCCCCGAGAAGTTGGCGTGGCGCCCCCTTATAGCGAACCGGAGTGACGTCACGGAGAGGACAGAATTTTTGCCAGACTCGCTCCGCTCGACCTGGGGAGGCTTTGACGACGTTAGCATTCGACGCGCTCGTTTCTAATAATTTTTTGTTTGTGCGCGTTTTTCGTAGGAAGTGTAAATTTTCATATGTGGCTTTATTGAGGTATGGCGTGTAGCTGCCGGCGAAACTTCAACCAACATTCCGAGCATGGTTGACAGGGCAGGCAACGCATGAATCGCAGCTGGTATATGAAAATGAAGAAATATGGCCACAATTGCAGGAGCATCACTATAGATTTACATCTCACACAATCAATGCTATGATAGCCTGAATGAATTGGTACGTTATGTATACTATTTCGTGTTTTTTTTGTATGTTTTTAAACAAAAAACGCCGAAGCAAACAAGCATACAAAACCTGCCTGCAGACTTGTTCGAAGACGTATGACGCACACCTGCCTCGAAGGTGCTCGAGGCCTGTTCGCAGGCAGTTCTGTCATCATGTCTCCAGGGAACACAATGTCCTTGGTGTCGATGTAAGAGCGGTGTGACCTTGGCTTTTTAAGCCTTCGGCGACTATATAGGAGGTAAAAGACCTGTCAGCCCTCTGTCCGAAACTCGCATGAACCGAATGTCCGATCGCAGCACGTCTTGACCCTTTTCCAGCGGCCTGAACCAATCCCGAGAAAGCGTTCTGCCGGTCTACTTGGGCTGCGAGGCCGGCACGGTGCGGTGGAGCTACCCTCGCGGTGCCCTGCGCGTCGTCCTCAAGGGGCCCGAGCCCGAGTTCGAGGCGCGCTTGAGACTGTCCAGGCGCTCGGGCGCCCTGGCCTACGTCGAGGCGGCGGACGGCCTGCTGCCGGCGCCCACGTCCTCGCGGAGTCCTCGCTGCTACACGTCGCGGGAGGGCATCGTCGCCGTCTACGTCGAGTCCAGGTCGGCGCCGATTCGCCGCCGTGTCATGACGTTGACGTACACGGTGGGACGTGCGAGACTGAAGGGACTCGCCGGGCCCAGCTGGGGAGGTGAGTATACGCCGTTTCCCTGTTTGTCGCCATGTGGCGTAGCTCCCATTGTGTGAATTTCTAACTGCCCGATAGCGGTCACGTGGTTTACTGTCCGCGTTTGCAATACGAGCTGCGGGGAGGGGACAAAACTTTTGCGTCATCAGCAAACGTCACTGCCTTTATGACCGTTTTTCAGCTCGCCACGTGACAACGCAACGTACGCGCACTTGCGGCCGATTCGCTCGGGCATCCGCCATTAAAATGAAAACGTCCTTCTTTGTTTGAGTTCGTCCCTCTCTTAAACCTAGGCTCTCCGCGAGAAAAACGAGACAGCTGGTTTAATTTTTTTACAGGTAAGGAGCTACGCCTTCAAATGTCACCAGATAAAATGCTCCACGTAAATGCGCCTTCGATGAACATCCGAACTAACTGTGTGCGGGTGCCGATATTTTTCGGCTTGTCTTAAAGCGGTAGTATCCATTGTGGACGCGCTATTAGAGAGTTAGCGAAGAAACCGTACCAAGACGTTAGCGGCGTTTGGCAACTTCTGGTTCCTTACGAAATTTTGTTTTACTGCTGACAAAGGACAACAATGAGCTACAAGCCTCAGCAAGCATGGTTTTGAAACCTCCAGACTAGTTTTCAGAGCCATGCTTAGACAGGTCTGCAGATTACCGTCGTCTCTTGCCAACAGCTAAACGAAATTTCCTAAAGAACCGAAGAACCGGAAGTTGCCAAACGCCGCTCACCAAGTGAGCGGCGTTCGTGTAACAGTCGATGAACCTTCTTTAAGGCCCGTTCACACTCTTGCGACTGCTTGCGACCTCTTAAACCTGGGTTCCTTAAAACTTCTTAAACCAAAGAACACACTGGCGCCATCTATTGGGAAGCAGTGAAAACTCGGCGGTCCGGCATATTTTTTTTATTTCTCGCGCAATATCCTTTCTTTTTTGGCCCGAAAAACTTTTGTCAATGTTATAAACGAGCCTTTCTATGGGTATTACGCACATTTGACCTCGGAAATCCCGCAAAACCTTCGCTTTTGTGAAATGCAGTTCTAGGGTCACCGCATAGATGGCGCCACAATGTCAGTGTGTTCCCTCATTCTAGAAACATTTAAGAAGTTGTAAGAGATCTCGTCTCTCTCAGTCGTACTCGGTCGCAAGAGTGTGAACGGGCCTTTAGACTCGGACATGTCTACCATAGGGCGTGCCGTCCGCGGAACGATCTACTTTAGTAGATCGCTAACGATCCCCGATGCTCCGTGAACGCATTCGTGCATGCATCGTATCGCTATCGGAGGTGTCGGAACGATCGACTAAAACTCCCTACTCCTAGGCCTATTATGTCTCAGGTATCGTTATCGGAGCTATCGCAACATTCTGCTAAAACTCCCTAATATATGAAGAGACTTTTGCCGCCAGGAACTGATGAAATTGTTCGACGTTTCATTGCAGAATGTCGCCCGTGCACGGAGACGGAGCTGCGTGAAGAGTATTGCACGAGCGATTTCGGTGAGTGATACACGTTTTGCTTTATCTCGTCGTGTAGTTTAATGGCTGTGGATGAAGGTTGCGCTACCTCGAACACTATTGAAAATTATTCCTCGTCACACATGTCGAACCGCTTCGATGGCTCCGAGGCAAAGTGCTGGCCTACGGACTTCGGGTGGCGGGTTCGAATCCAGACCGAGGTGCCTGCAATGTGATGGAAGCTTATTACGAAGATGGCGCCGTGTAAAAAGGTTGTTAAAAGAGGACGCTTCACAGGCACATGAAGTGAGGGTTGAAGTCCGGCCGTTTGTCTTCTGTATGGACACCAACCGCTCAAACAGCACTGTTCTCCTCCTCGCCCTCTATGCTTTCCGGTGACGTCGGTGCCCGTCAGGCTTCACGTCATACGCGGCCTGCCAATGGGGTGCCTTGCTATTTGTTTTGCCGTTACCGGCAGCCCCCACCGCCATGGGAAGCGAGCATGCCGGCCGTGTCGCGGCGGTCGCCTATTGTTCGCCGCGACCTAGCGGTAGCCGCCGCAGGAGCATCGGGGGGCAATGGCGACGAACAGCACGTCAGACAGTGTCCCCGTCGTGATTACGAAGGAATTTAAGGCAGTTACGAATTCGGAAAGTTCCTTCGGTAGCCGGTGCCGTCGGCGCAGAATCATCGGGAAGTAATAGCAACGAACACCACAGAGGACAGAGGGCGATTACGAATCCGGAAAACTTCTTCGGTAGCCGGTGCAGAATCATCGGGGGGAAGCAATGGCGATGAGCAGCACAGTGGACAGTGTTCCCGGGGTGATTACGACGGGGTTTAAGGCGGTTACGAATCTAGAAAGCTTCTTCCGTGGTACCAGTATGAAGAAGGGAAAAGTCCTTCGTGAATCTGGCCGCGTGTACGACGTGAAGGAGGTCCGTTTCGACAGACAAGTGGATGCCACGGAGCGCCGTACTCCGCTAACAAAATTAAGCGTGCCCGCAAAAAAATGTAGTTGGCGTTGAGTGGACCGTGGTAATTATGTACGTTTATTTCTGAATCAGCTTGACAATAACTGGGCGATTTTTTTCGCGCCGTTCCGCGATTCCCACTACTATCTTCCTGTAGGCTGATGGAAACATCCAAGTGTAGGCTTAGGGGGGCGACCGCACTCCGCTTCTCGATTCCGGTGAAGTATTTGCCGCATACTTTAGAGTTTGCCGTCGGTGTCGATGCGGTTCCATCGTCGCTAGAATAGAAAAAAGTTAATTGTATTATTCGTCAGCAGCTTAAACAAAGCGCGAACAGAAAGGTAAGAGACGCCACTAACCTGTATGGACGCACAAGTCGCACCTGCAGGTCGCGCAGTACTCCGCCTCGTACGGCCGTACGGCTTCGAAGGGACGATGTAGTACTTCCTGCCGTGTGCGATCTTCGACGTACTGTTGCAGCCGACCACGCAGCAATTGTTGCCGCTTTCTTGGTGCGGAATAGCCATCTCAGAAATTACAACGCTAACCGGCTAACCCACTACAACGCACAACCAACGCAGTGACTGGCAGAAGCTCCCCGATGCGATGGACCCGTTTGCCGCTAGGGGCGCCCTGGTCGGGGCTTGAATTAGATGCGCACGGTTCCTATGGGAGAAAAGTCGAAGAGGTCCGGCCATTGAGGCCGGACCTGTTCGAGTTTTCGAGTGAGCGAAGCTTCTTCTCTCACGCGAAAAAGCTTCGCCTCCCCGTCCTCGTTGCCTTCTCGATTTGAAGAGCAGCGGAGGCCTTGATTACAGCCACTAGAGCCTGTGAATGGCTGTCCGGACCGACGTGGTGAGCAGGCTCTAAGGCGCCGTCAGAGACAGAAGCGAAAAATAGGGCTGGGCACTTAATCGATTAACTATCTAGTGATTAATGAATTAATGCTTTAATCGCGATTGATTTTTAGAGCGTAGTTCTTAGGCGCCCGTTTTTGGCTCGAGCGGCGTCGCCGTCGGCGTCAACGTAACCGCGAGGACTATCGCCGCCCCGAGGAGCCGGAGGAAACTAGACACGCGCGACGGGACCGCCACTTGGCGGAAGGAAAGGAAACTAGGCACGCAAGCGCTTGGAACGACGACAGTGGGCGGTGCGCTTTCCTCCTCCTCCTTCTTCCCGTTTTTAGCGGAAAAATTTGGCGGGTTGGCGGGGTAATTTTGCCGCTAAAATTGGTGGGAACATTTTTCCGCTAAATTTGGCGGGAAATTTTCTCGCTAAATTTAGCGGGAAATGTTTCAGCTAAATTTGGCGGCAAATTTTTTCGCTAAATTTAGAGGGCAAGGTGTAGTTTTTGTTGGCGCACACGAAAAATCCACGGGACCCTAGCCATAAACAGCTTCGCTGAAAAAAAAAAAAAAAAAAAAAAACTGGCGAAAGCGGATTGGCACACGCCATATATGACGGAGTTGTGTCGCTTCACGCATTTTGAATTCTCCTGTTTGAACAGGCTTTAACCGAGATATCGGTTCCACGGCAAAGGATCCCTTTGTGTTCGAAATCAATCCTCAGTCCTTCGCTAGAGCGTGCCAGATTGCCCCCGTTAGTTTGTCACGTAGCCCCCCCCAGTTTATTTTATTCTTGCGGTACGTAAATTTATTTTTAATACCTACTTCTGCGATGAAAACAAGAGCTACAATCAAGATTAAACCAAGAATGAAATATACTATATTTTCATGATTCTTGCATCAGTACGCATGCTTTGCTGGTATTATTTTTCATAATTGAAAACCCTCACGAGGTTGCCAAAGCTTAAAAGGTGACTCTTTAATTCATCAGAGTTTGTCCTTGGGTTCTTTTGCTAAAAGTAAAACCCGCTGCCACTTTCTACAGCATATTCTGGACAAGCTAACGAAACATTATCGAACTTTTCCTTAATTTTTACGCGTCTTGTTATCCAAACTCCATGCATTAAACCTTTCGCCCGTGAAGGGTCGAACAAGAGAAGGTTCCTAAAGTTGTTTGTGTTTAATTTGTCAGTTGCAGAAGCAGTCGTGAAGGAAACCATCCCCGACGCCGAGCGACATTGGACTCACTTCCGGCTTTTCGTGTCCCAAAACCACCGCAACTACTTACCAGACCTGGTATCCAAGCCTCGGCGTTGCGGACATTTCAAAACTGGCAGTGAACCTCTGCTGGTCATGGCCCGCTGGCATCTGGGCCACGCCTTGGTGACATGTGCACCAAGGCTCTCCCAGTGGCAGCTGCTGACCTCAAGATCCAGCCTTCCACGTTGCAGCAAACGCATTGACGATGCACGGTTTGCACCGCTGGAATTGTCTTCAGTGTAGCGGTGCATTAGGCTGTAAATAATTTAGGAGGACGAATCTACCAGCCGTGCTTTTAAACCCACAAAGACTGTTCCGGAAAAGCCTCAGCGCTGTTGACACTTCGCAGCCTTCTGTGTGGAGCTTCTAGCAGTAACTGCTGATGTCATCTTGGACACGCTCTAGTGATCTGCGCTTCGAGGCTGTCTTCTGGTGGAAGTTCCTGTCTTCAAGATCCAACCTTCTACGACGCAGTGAGCGCGTTGACGATGTGCGGTTGGCACCACTGGCAGCAGCAACGATTTAAGTCTAGAAGTGCGTTATGTTGTAAATAATTTAGGAAAACAAATTTGACCAGCAGGTCACTGTAGACCACAGAGACTTTCCGTAAAAACCCTCAGCGCTGTGGACACTGCGGAACTAATATGAACATCTATTAATTACGGCCAGCGTCATCTTTGCAACATTGTTTCACTCCCTCCCGGTGATTTCCCAGTGGATGTTTCTGGTTGTCAGAACAAATGTGTGGAGTTTATGACATAATATACTCCGGAACTACCGGAGATCGACTTTCTAGCTGTGACGCTGTGATCTTGGATGTGCTAGTTCACCTGTGCTCCGATGTTTCCTAGGGACAAGTGTGACTGCTGGATCAGCCTTCCTCAGTGTACCGAAGAGGGTTCACATCGCGGATGAGAAAAACGTCTTCACAATGCTAAAGTAATAGCGATAATTGGAAGTCTAAAAAAGAAATGAAATGGCTACCTTGATGGGCTAATTTACTGACGATGGTATTCTGTGTCCCTGCTTGTCATTTGTATGCTACTGAGAGATCAGTTATCATAATAATAATAATTGTAATTATAATAATAATATTACTTTATTTTCTGGTAGTGTACAAAAACAGCCATATAAGCCTTCTTAATGGGACATTGAACACACAAATAGAAACCAAAGCATTGACCGAATACATTAGGACACTGAACAGTTTCACCTTCCTTATGGTCGGGCTTAACGTGCAGTAACGTGCAGTGAATTCTGCACTTGCGTACACCGTAAAAGAGCGACACAATAAGGATGTGACCCACGCAAAATACCTTTCTATGAGAAGTGTGCGCGGTATAGTGTGTTAGAAAAACGACAAATAGCATGCAAGGATCGCTCACACTACGAGATGCTAAGCATAAATATGCCTAATGTGAAACAAAACTCAGTAACGTAAGGCGAAACAAAACTGGAAACGGGCTGTTGCCTTTCTGTGGTGCGGCCGCGCTCCTGAGGAAAAAACAACAACAACAATGGCAACGACAAGACCAAGACCAAGACCAAGAACAAGAACACGAACAAGAACAATAACAAGGACAAGAACAACAAGAATATTTTTATTTTTATTTCATTTATTTAAGATACGTTCATAACACTATAAGGTAACGGGTCTGTAGAAGCCAGTAGAGGATCGAAGGACAGAACCCAGCAAATGGAATGTCACAGAGAGCACAGAAGAAGTCCATAGAGCGCACATTTCAAACATTTATCGCACTATACGAGAAACAGAAACTAATTACCTCACAATTTCGCAGCAAACATATTAGATACAAAATATCACACAGCAGTACATTGTTGAAATTGTACAATGAATTGCAGCGTAAAACTGTTCAATAGTTTTTTTTCTTAATTTTCTCCTAGTTGTACCTTCAAGGAACTGGTCGGGGAGTTTGTTAAGAATGTATGGCACAAAATGAGACCGCTCTCGCTTACCATATCTTGTAAAACACCGGGGGATTATAGGGCGATCAGAAGTACATAAATCTTTGAGGGGAACGAAGGGATGTTTAAATTCACTACACCAGAAGTGAGAAAGCACCACACATTGCAAAAAAAGTGAATGGAAGTTAGGCAGTTGTAGAGCTTCAAAGATTCCAGCTTCTGATGAGGGATCATAATGATAACCGACAGTTCTTAACAAATTCCTAAGAATACGGTCAATTTTAGTTTGCCATATTTCTTCATAGTCACCAAATAATGTGATGCCATACCTTAGTATACTATAAGCAAGAGCATTAGGAATGGATTTTTTACGGCAAATGGCATAAATACCCTACTATTGTAAAGTAAGCAGCACACGCTGCGAAGCTTGCCAGAAACATGGGTTAAATGCACTGACCATGACAAATCTGAATCAAACAATTGCCTAAGTACTTAACAGTGTCGACATATTTTAGGGAACTACATGTACAATCAAGGCAGTTGGATCTGTGTAACACAAATGATGAGTCCATTTTTGCATGTTTCAGTGGACTCCGAAGTAAACAAGTCAGGTTGTGGGTGTGTTAACAGTAATATAATTGTCATAAAACCAATCCGTTATTCGTGCAGAGTTATGTTGCAATAACTGCAGGGCTGGGCGGTAATTAATGTTACTAGAGACAAGTAAAGTATCATCCGCATTCGGAAAAAGTAGAGATGCGGCGGTGCGGGCCTGTCCGCCTGGTCACAGAGCCCGCTCGGGCGAACTCGGAAGAGGCTGTACAGCCGAGCTCAGCGCAGCTCCCGAGAGCGCCCGCTCGACCGTCGGCCGCTACCTGGGCAGTGCTGAAACGTGGCCGCCCACGCCTCTATGCCGCAGACGAACTAAGAGAGCGCAAAAACGACATTCATGCTTTCGCATTCACAACTCATAAGAAATGCTTCGGGGTACTTGGATAGTTTTTTTTATTAAAAGACGGCGGAATTCGCAGTTTTTTTTTATTTACCTTGATTTATATAGAGCCAGCTCGGAGATTACATTTTATGGCGTATTGGCGTATATACTAAAACTACAGCACTCCACGGGGCGCTTTTTCTAGCCCAGGCCCGTCCCGGGCCCGGCGTCATTGTAACTTAGCAACCCGAGCCCGTCCCTGGTGATTGAAACCGGTGGCAGGACCGGCCCGAGAGCGAGCAATTTCTATGATACACGGCCCGGATCAGCCGAAAACATTTTAGAACATGTCTGGTGCCGGCCCAGGGTCAAATTCGATGTGATGTTGTCTAAAATTTGCGGCGTGGAGTACGAACATTTAGGGCAACGTTATTTTATACACTTTTAGGGCAACGTTATTTTATGCACTTAATGCGACCTTTGGAGCTGAATTGCTGGACGCCACCATTTTTTCCTTGTATGTCAGTAGCTGAAGGGGCCACGAAAAACACGTAACATTAACTAGGACAGTCGATGATTTCATCGGTCTATAGGCCAAAGCAACCAAGAAAAACTCCGTCCTCGATTTATGTTTATTCCCAAGACGAGTTCAACCGCATTAGCACAAGTGAGACGAACTATATCCACGCTTAATTTGCTCCCATGAAGCCTTCTGCAAATAAATGGTATTTCTTCCGGGATCGCACACCTAAAATTATGAATTTTACTAATTCCGCAGAATTGCTTGTGACTAGCAATAGAAGCAAATAAAAGTGATGTGCGACAAATATTTTATTTGCAAATTAAAAAGTATACGTTTTTTTTTGTTTTTTTTTTAGCAAGAACAAAAGGATATAGTGAATCTGTATTTAAGCACGTCCTGCTCTCTTGAATAGCCGCCTCGGTGGCTCCGAGGCGAGAGCGCCGGACTACGGATCCCCATGTGGCGGGTTTGAATCCCGGCCGAGGTGCCCGCAATCTGACGGAGGCTGATTGCGGAGAAGACGCCGTGTAACCGAGCTTTCGGTTGCACGTCAAAAGATCCCCATGTGGTCGAAATTAATCCTCAGTCCTCCGCTGGGGCGAGCCCGATGCCCGTCGTTGGTTTGGCACGTAAAACCCCTAAATTTGACTTTCTTGAATAATATAGCCCGCGGTTCCAAAGTTCCTTTCACTACTGGCGCTTGTTGCAGGAATAGAACCTTAGTGACAAATAAAGACAAAGACGTTGAAATATCTTACCATTGACAACCTCGGCACCCTAGAGGAGTGCGCCGTGGGCGGTGGCGAGAGCACACCGTCCAAGGCAGGGCTGCGCTTATAGTTGGACTTTACCCCTTCCACAACGGTACCTAGAAAGTACTGGCCACGTGCATTCCACTCGCCCATACCATTTACGTTTATGCGTAGTCGGATGACTGTTCCATACACCTGCGCACACCTGAGCGTATGCACATTCTTACGGTATTTTAAGGACTCCCTCCTATGGTGCATACGGTATGCACCATACGATTGTGCATACGAGGGAGCCCTTAAGATACATCCCTGCCTACAAGTGTGTCTTTACGATACATGTGTTAATACAATAAGTACATGTATTTATGATGTTCATAACAAAAGTTTTTGAGTTTATATCATACGTTTGCTTATATTGTGTCTATACATGTTGATGTCATACGTCTACCCATATCATACGTGGGTCGGTACTTGGAGTCTGTAACAAAATTTTATTCCTGGTTCGCATCTATACCCTTAAATTTGATAGACTCTGTGGCAACTGCATGTAACCGCTTACAGCGATAGAACACACCGACACACTGGCGCCGTCTTTCGGTACCCTTGGAAACATTCCCTTTCGGGTGTAACTAGACTGAAAGCTTAGCTGTATTAACGACATCAAATCTATGCACTATTTATGAGAAGAAGTGTCTTATATTACTGTCAGAGTAATTTCCAGAACACGGGGAAGGACTGTTGCGTTATTGACAGGCCGGAAGTCTTCTAAGCCTACCCGACAGACGGCGCCAGTGTGTTCTCGTCGTGAGTAGAGAGCCTAGATTGAAGAGAGTGTCCATCTCAGACCATAGAGAATTTTTAAAATTTAATGGCAAACGCTTACTGCCGAGATTCGTCACAAGCGCGCACGGGCTGCTTTTTCTTGTAGTGAAGAGGAATGCAGGCGGAAAGGCGGAGACGTTGGCAGACGATGAACGATTGCGGCCCCTCCTTGCAGCTTGCATTGCAAATGCAGCCGATAAACCACGCGACCTGAGGGCTGTACGCCCAGCAGGGCGTACAGCCCTTGGGCGAATCTGTGTGTGTGTGTGGGGGGGGGGGGGGAAGGGGGGGAGGGGACGCATCAGGTACATGTCGTAGGTCCCCAAGGAGGGAATCCTGCAGTTTTGGACCTTTCCCTTCGCTTCAGCGGCGGTCATATCCGCTGGGCGTACAGCCCTCGGTCAAAAAAAACTATCTAAGACTATAGGTCAGCCCACTCCAAGGTTAAAAAAATGGGCAATGCGACGTCGTGCTTGGACGCGGCCCTAAATAAGTTCTGTGTTCACATGGTGCATGAGAGCTTCCAGGCGCAGTGCAATAGGCTAAGAGACGCTGGTTTGTGATGTTGCCGGCACCTTTGCTAAAAAGGTAAAAGAAACCTCTCCCCCTAATAATGTTGTGGACAGGCGAAGGACTGTTGTCATCCAATACCTGCACATGGTCTCTGACAATTTAAAGAAAGTAGAAAGTCGGTACCACGTCCATGTGGTGTATTCCGCTCCTCAGAAGTTGAGCCAGATATGTTCGAGGGTAAGGGGCAAGGCAGAAGGACTGCCAAAGAGCAAGTAAAAAAGCTTAAAAAAAAAACGCAAAGTTTCCGGAGCGGTATACAAGGTCCCCCCTCGTGAGGTAAAGTCTATATTGGACAGACGGGAAGGTGTTTAAATGATAGGCTCAGGTAGCACAACTATTCACTGAGAACCACGGTCGGAGGGCATTTGCGGTGCACTGTAAGAGCTGTTTGTGCAAGCCGTCCTTCGAGGAGACCACGCTTGTAGATAGGCACAAAGGCAAAGTGACGAGGGAGGTGATAGAGGCTTTTCACATAGCGGAAAGTGGGGCGCAGTGCATCAGCGAGCCGTCGGTGGCGCTATCTGTGAAAGAGATGTTGTTTTTGACTTCGATCGACTATAAAAAAAATGTAAAAAAAAATGGGGGGGGGGGGGGGGGTGGGGGGGGGGGGGAGCACGCGGCACGTG